AGAACTTAAAATATGATAATGAGACAGCAACCAAATGTAAACAATTTAAACAAGACAGCTAGATAAGGCCCAGGGGCAGCCAAATATGTAAATCAATTAGACAAAAACCAAATAATTTGAGAAGAATAATATTTACTATCACTAACCTGTCACGATTCCACCAAAACTTCATGGGATCGAAAGCCGAAACTGTTTATTTGTCTTCTCTTTCTAAACAACAAAGAAGAAAACCAATTGTTTTAGTTTGAATAATGCTAAAAAATGACCAAATAGTGCCATAATTTTAATAAATTGAACTATGGAAGTATGAAACTTACGTTGTAACTTTTCTTGACTCCATAGAGATTATGACACCAATCACCACCACAGAGTAGCACTTGCACAGTACCGGAAGACAACGATGATTGATAAGTATTAATAACTCGACTCCCAGCACTGAAAGTTGCCTCCAAAGCGACCGTGGTGATTGGAATGACAAGTGTTTCACGAGCCATCGTAAATAGAATGCAATAGTTCATTTGATTTACCTTCCACCACTGTAACGCATCAAATGAGGTATCATCTTCGTCCCATAAAAACCATTTCTCCTCTAGATAATGATCTAACTCAGATTTCTCATATTGCACTGTTTGAGTTGTCCTAACAAACTGACAGAATCGTGAACTGGTACGTTTAGGGCGTTGTACATTGTCCTGCTGAACTTTACTGATTTCCACAGGTGGTTCACTATTGGAAGATTGACTTTCCGCTGCTTATTCCTCATAAATCTCATACAAGACAACTTGCATAATTTTGTCTTGTGCTTCTTCATCAGGATACATTTGTGGGTAGGCAAATTGCAGCAGCCTCATTTTCATCCTCAGATCCAATACAGCTGCAATTGCCATTACTAAATTGCATTCCCTTAATACTTGTCAAACTTTTCTTTCATCTTTCCCACCATTGACCGAATGAAATCATCATCATCAGAATATTTTTCATCTAGCAACTCTTTTATGTCAACAATTTCTTGCAAAAATAAATTAGAAGTGGGGTACTCACTTCCCGATGTGACATTAGTTGTCAAGTTGAAGGCTTCCAAAATCTCACACACTTTCTCAAGTTTTTCCCAATCTTCATCTATTAGGGCACAAGTAAAGTTATTATCCAATTGAACTAATAATGGAAACACATCTCTATACTGAATTGCAAGTGCCAACATCTCATAAGTAGAATTCCACTTCGTTTTACAATCAAGTATGAGTTTCTGCTTGGGCAATTGCAACATCTGAACAATCTTTAAAAACATAATTACTCTGGTATCTGATTGCTTGACATACAAAATACAGTCTCGTATGTCTTGAATGATGGGCTTAATTTGGGAAAGCCCATCCTAAACCATGAGATTCAATATGTGTGTCGTGCACCGCACATGAAACAACCTCCCACCACACATTAGCTTCTTGTTTCTTCCTAAATTCTCCCTCAAAATCTTGATTACCGTGTCATTACTTGAAGCATTGTCAACCGAGATATTGAACACCTTGTTCTCAATTCCCCATTCAATTAGACACTTATGAATAGTAGCAGCAATCTCAACACCAGGTCAAGGAGCCGGTATATGAACAAAATTAAGCACATGCTTCTGCAACTTCCAATCACTATCAATAAAATGTCCGGTGAGAACCATGTACTCAAGCTTCTAATTAGAAGAATTTCATAGATCAGTTGTCAAACTAATCTTGTTAATACTCTTAAGCAAATTAACCAACTTCTTCTTCTGTATCTCATACATAGTCACACAATGTTGTTTCAAAGCAGTACGCGTTATCTTCTCCCATTGTGGCATACCACATCTTTGCATCATGTTAAAACCCTCCTCCTCCACAACTGTAAATGGATGCTCGTGCATGAGCACCCAGTTAGTAGCTAGTTCCCATATCTTGCTCATATCAAACTTGGCATCTAAAAATGCAAGTGCAGATTGCATTGAGATTTCATTCGTTAAACTGGCTGGCGGAAAAAACAACTGTGTTTGCCTCTGACAACCTATTCGCTTCAAACATGATTTCAAATATCTTGCAAACTGAGTTGTACTTTTGGTCTCCATTATTGGAGCTTTGTCTTACAATAAATACACTCTCCCTTTGTAGAACCATCTGGTGGAACTACCTCTTTAAATTCATTTCAAACCGCTAATGTCTTTGGTCTCTTTTTCCTCTGAAAAGGATTAACTTGCTCCTCGTCAGTACGAGGGGTAGAAGCATCAACACCATCACCGGGTGTGCCTGTGGGTATGACATTGTCATCAAACCAGGTTTCAAAGATATCTTCTACTGGTTGCATTCGTGAAGTGGTAGGGTGTGTTCGATTGGGGGTGAATGATAGATGCCCCACTGGAATAAACAAATCCCTCTGCAAAAAGAATATAAAGTCAGAAGCATTAAGTCAAAAACCATTCTAGCAAACTACAAAACTACGGATGACTGAAACCATAGGTGTTAATCATAGGTGTTCTAATTTTGTACACACACCATATGATTAATTGAAACAAAAAAAAAAAAAAAAAAAAAAAAATTCAGCTGAAACTAAGCAACAGAAGATAAATATAAAGAAACAAATTTAGTATCAGAGTATACAAGGAGAAAATGCAATTACACAACAAAACTAAATTGACATATCTGTAACTAGGGGTGCAATCGAACCAAGTAGCTCGTGAGCTACTCGGGATCGACTCGTGACGAACTCAGGCAAATCATAAATCGAAATACATTGACAACCAATCATTTCAAGGAGTTTATATAAATTAATTCAAAGGGAAAAGTTTCAAACAAAATTCAGTTGATTTTAAGAGGTGTTTGATGAATTTAAAAATCACATGTAAAATCCAAATGTATACAATTCATAGTTCAATATCTATATTTCATAATTAAGTAGCACTGCCATAAATAAACAACCAAAGTAAAATAGTGAGAAACACAAGACAACTAAATAAATCATAAAAATGGATTAGAGGAGAGAAGTTACAGAAGGGAAGCAACGAACACCAAGGCTCTTGGGAGGAGGTGTAATTTTGATGACTTCATAGGGGTGAATGTTATGATCTCTACTTCTCTCTTTCCTTCTGCAAATCACATGAACTGCTTGTGTCTGCTAATCAATAAATAATGAAATAAACATCCAACATCATTCACAATAATAACTAACCATTAATCATTTCATGGTAACAGAAGTTTTCGTCCTTTTGACACGTGCGACACCTTGAAGCTGTAACTCAAACATAGTAATAGAATAATTAACATGATTGATAGGCAACAAAAACACAAATTTATGTTTACATAACCACCTTACTCTGCAAAAAATTAGAATAGATATCTTTTGTCCTCAGGCTGACGTGGTTTAGAAGTGAAGAAGGGAAGACGACAGTGGCTGATGTTGCGGTGTGAAGAAGTGAAGATGATGGTGGTGGAGGTGGAGGTCGAGCAGAAATAAGGTTGAAGGGAAAATGTCTCTGTTTTAGGGATTTTACAGCGCGCATGTGAAATACAGTTGAAGGGTAAATGAAGGTTGGTCGCTGGACAATAGTAGCTGAATGAAGGCTGGATGAGGGTTGGACAACGGTGGCGTCTCAGATCTTGCAGTGTGATTTGGCGGAGGTGAAATATGGTTGAAGGGAAAATGTCTTTGTTTTAGGGATTTTACAGTCGAATGTCTTTGTTTCATATTTTAGGGCAAATATGAATACGTGAGCTGAAGATCTCACAAACTCTCCTACTCGAATGACGTCTCGAGTTTCTCAGAAGTTCGCAAGCAGTTCGAATCGAGCTTGAAAAGCTCGACATTTTTCACGAGCTTGAAGATGAGCTCGAACTCATGAACTACTCGATTTTCGACGAGTCGAGGCCGAGTTCGTCACGAGTCGATCTTGAGTAGCTCACAAGCTACTCAGTTTGACTCCCCCCCAACCACGTTACAATATAAATGCAATTAGGAATATCAACTTGAAATTACGTTTATTGTTTCAAATATAAAAATCTTGAATAAATGCAATTAGGAGTATCAACTTGAAATTATGTTAAACCTGGATGCGAATATGTCCTTTACTCTTTCAGAAACCTCACAAATCAAATATGTGGATTGAGTCCATTGTTTTTCTATTTATTATTTTAACATCTAAAATTTATAGATAAATATTTTTTTCTTATTTCAGAAAACTCACAAACTTCGGGATTAAGGCCATTTGATTCTGTATTTTAATAAATAAGTTAGATTTGATTGGTTAGCTTGATTTAATCCGTCTTAAACTGGGGCTACACTTGCGTACTTACTTTAATTAACCACGTGTTATGAATACTAAAATTAACTCAAACGCAATCTTAGTTTCCAAAACTAGTTAAAACTAAGCTCTAACGCCACGTCATCCTCGTACCACGCGCCACCACAGTCCGTTCCCAAAACCCCACCTTCAAAACCTCCACAATTTCAACCCAACACCCCCACCTGCGCGTGGACCTTGTCCCCATCGTACTTTCAAGTAAGAAAAGTAAAAACAATCACTTTGGTCCTCAAAGACAGAACCTCATTATCGGAATTTGCGTTAAAAGATTGGCCATAATTTTAACATAATTAACATGTGGTTAATTTTAACTCCCAGGTTTTACTCAGACTCAGTCGCTTCTGTCTATTTCCTTTAATCCTTGTACTGAACAACCAATTGGGTGTCGACACGTCGGATCATAATCCGCTAATGTCGTTCCTTAATGAAAGTATTGTACATGCAAGTACTGTAGAGGATAAAGAGAAGAGAAAGTTTCTTCAGACTCAGCTGTGTGATTCTATCCACTTAATTGGGTCCTACATTGCCCACACCTCTTTGTTAGCTCTTGTTTTGTTTTTTTATTATTATTATTATTTTATTATTTTATTTTTTTTGGGTTCTTTTATTATCTTTTTGATGTCGTGGAATTCCAAAGCAACCCTCTTGTAGCTAGTAGAATCTAATCTTTTTATATGAGCCAATATCTATCTATCTATCTCACTTTAGTGCTTTTGTTTATTTTGTTTTCTTACCTGACATTACATTCTATGTTGCCACCACCTCCATTCAATCCATATTTGCTGTTTGTTGATGGATTCTTGATTATGGGTGATTCTCTGAGACGGGTTCTGAACTTTTTGGCCTGAGGATTTGATTTCATCAACTAGGTTGGTTTGTGTTGTTGGTGTGCTTGTTCATGTGTTCTTGTTGTTGGTTTATGGTTTTAAGCCACAGGATTTGTTTCTTTGAGGTGTGTTGATCTTTGAGTGCTGTGAATTTGGCAAACTTTGTTGGGTTTTTTATGGGATTATGTTGTGATTTTGGTGGAAGAAATTGTGGTTTTAGTGAGTTGAATTTGTGGTGAAGGACTAGAAGAGGAGAGGAGAGGAGAGGAGAGGAGAGGAGTGGAGAGAATGAGAGGAGGAAAAGATGAGATGAAGGTGACTAGTCCTATGTTTCCAAGGCTTCATGTGAACGATACAGAAAAAGGGGGGCCAAGGGCGCCTCCAAGGAACAAAATGGCTCTCTATGAACAGCTAAGTATTCCATCTCAAAGGTTAGGTTCTGGCTCAGCATCCATGTTGCCTCTTCCATCTAGCAGTGGCAGTAGCTTGGTTCCTTCAATGTCATCCAGCAATGTGAGTTTGAATATCTATGGTTGTTTTTTGTAAAAATCCTTAAGTTCATATCTGTAATTGTTTCCATTACTTGTAGTTTGTACTTGTGATCATGAACTTTCAGTTCTGATTGAGTTGTGATGCCACGAACAAGTTTTGGTTTATACGTTTTGGATTCTTATTCATTTAATTACGCAATGTGATTGTAGATGTGATCTCAGAACACCCTTTATATTGTTTTGACCCTTTCAGGGTGCTTTTTTTCTCCTTAGTCGAAAATTTATTTGATTTTCAGAAGAAGCGCTTTTCTGATTTGTGTGGTAATTGTTGATGGAAGGTCTTAACTTATGTTGATTTTATTAGTAACTTGCTGTGTGATTTTAAGTACTGCGCAATTTTGATGGTTTGATTATATTCATCATTGAAGGGTGGTGATCATGAAAGGAGTGTGTTTAGCCAATTCTGCAACTCCCCTGCACCTCCTTTTTTGCCTGAGAAAATTCATTCTTATGGGTCCAGTGGTATCAAGCGGGACACTGTGATGACAAATCAACAATGGAAAACCATGACACCTACAAATTACCAGAGTCTGAATACTGGAGGACCATTGTCATCAACTGCTAAAAGCACTTCATTTAAACAAGGTAACTTCTCCAACTTCAGGAATTTTGCGTTGAAGAAATTTGGAGATGAGAATGATTTTAGAGTTTCCAGCTCTGGCCAGTTAGGAATAGCCCCACAGTGTAGCAATAGACAACACAGCAAAGATCGAGAATACAAGCTGAAGAAAGGATCTGGCCCTAGAGATCTGAATTCTAAATCTCATTTGAAGAACCAAAATGAAGAGAATGTAAAATTTTCTCAGACAAGTCAGGACCCTGAGGGAAAGTCTACGCCAATCCCATTGGGTAGAGTCAGGAATTTAGCAGACGTGTCTTCTAGACTAGTACCTAAAGTTAAGCATTCAGAATCATTAAAGAAAGCACATTCATCTTTGAACCAAGAAAATAGAAGGAGTTCGATTGATATTTTAAATGGTTTACATGGGACTAATGCTCGCTTACATCTAGAGAGTGAGGCTTTGAGGGACGAGATGGCCCTTAGAGATGGCATTTTGATGGAAACCACGAGGGACATGAATAAGGAAAATTCTTATAAGGTGAGAAATGAATCATGTTTGAGACTGTCACCCGGAGATAATAATAGTAGTCCTCATGAACTTGAAAATGGCAGTGAGTGCCTTGAAGAGCAAAATGGCCGATCCGTGCAAGTGAGAGAGGTAGACAGACGTGATGATGTTTCTAATACCTCAATGGTGGATTCGTCATCAGCTTTGGGTATTTCCCCTGATGATGTTGTAGGAGTCATTGGTGAGCAGGAATTCTGGGAAGCGAGAAGAGCTATCATCAAGTAAGTATCTCCATCTGGCTGTTTCAATGAACACATCTACTTCTTATCATCCGTATAAAAGATTAGTTCATTGTTTTTAATTTATGAATGGTTATCTTTGTAATTTTTTCTAGCCAAGCAAGTTATATGGTCCTTTTCAGATGTCTGCAGTATTTGTATTGTACGTAGTATCTTCAGCCCTGACCTAGACATTGTAACTAGGTGCCCATAAGCTTGTGCAACAGGTTCAACATCCATGGATGATAATCTCAATATTGTCTTTCAATGAGTTTCCTCAGGGGCAGTAAGGGCTTATGATCTGTGCTTGATTTGGACTGATTAATCTTGGATTGATTTAGGTTTTTATCACTGAAATGGGGGAAGGCGGAATGATAAGAGTCATGCAGGGCAACTCCAAATCGAATTGTTCTAGTGCTTTTAGATCAGATATTGCTTGATGCAAAGTCTATTAGATTTTGTATTATGTTGTCAGACCTGCTTCCTGGATACAGTCATATATTGCTTGTGGTTGAATAATTTGATCGATAATTTTTTGAAAATCATATGATCCTAATCTGGTTATAATTTTTAACTTTTTGCAATGCATGATATTAATTATTATTTAGTGATCTTGATAAACTTTTATGCTGCTTCTTTCAGCCAACAAAGAGTCTTTGCGGTTCAAGTATTTGAGTTGCATAGACTTATGAAGGTAAGCTGATAATTTTCTAAAACTAACGCTCATTCATGCTTTCTTGGGTTTCTGATCGAAATCTGTGAAAGGAAAACAAAATTTAATGGGATTTTTTAATTGAAACAGGTACAAAAATTGATTGCCAAATCACCACATTTGTTGTTTGAAGATAATCTCTATGTAGACAAACCTTCATTAAATGTACCTCAAGTGAAGAGATTGCGAGCTGAGTATGATCTACAAACAACACCCCGTATTGTGAAGGCTAAAGATCAGTCTGAGAACCCAGATCTCAATGCTGAATGTGCAGATGAGAATGCAGTTGCTAATTTTGCTCATTCTTCTGTCAACACTGACACCAGCAAAGGACTTGTTAACCAACGATCAAATTATTTGGTAAATGAACCACCGGCAGCTCCAACAAGGAACATCAAACCATCTCCGTGGTGTTTCCCACCCCCTGGAAATCAGTGGTTAGTTTCCGTAATGTCACCTTCAGAAGGACTTGTTTATAAGCCCTACACAGGCCCATGCCCCCCAACGGCAGGCTTTGTGGCACCATTTTATGGCAGCTGTGGTCCTATGAGCTTAAATCCTTCTAGTGGAGACTTCTTGAACACAGCTTATGGTATTCCAGCATCTCACCACCAAGGGCTTGGAATTCTTCTGGGATCGACTCCTTTCGGTCAGACCTACTTTCCACCATACGGCATGCCGGTAATGAATCCATCTGTTTCAGGTTCAGTGGATGAGCAGATGAGTCCGTTTCCTGGAGCCCGGTCAAAGGACGATCATTTCTCAATGGTGGACACTAACTTCATGATGCCTCATCAAAATTCACAGAACATGTCAAGTCAGATGAGTCGAGCAATCTCTCGTTGTTTTGGAAAATTTCAGGCTTCAAAAGAAAGTGAGATACAGGGAAGTACAGCAAGTAGTCCCTCTGAAAGAGCCACTGGGGATGCACTTCCTCTCTTCCCCATGGAACCAATAGTTCAAGCATCAGATATTAATGCTCAGACCAGTGAGGAGCAGAGTCGGGTGATTAAAGTTGTACCGCATAACAGTAGATTAGCAACAGAATCAGCTGCTCGGATTTTCCAGTCCATACAAGAAGAAAGAAAACACTATGATTAATGTATCTTGCAATTCGCTTCATATTTGGTTCTTATAAGACATTATGAAGGGAAACAGATTAAGTTATCAAATATTCAATACTTCTGTATCAGTAATCATATGTTTACAACTTACTTTCGAAAGATGTACATTTACTCAATGATTGAAAAGGATTCATTTTTCCTTGTGAAGTTGCTTCCTTTCCAAGTTAGTTTTCTACTGTTTACAGATAGTAGATTTTTTAAATGAAACAGCACTGAACTCCTTGCCTATGGTTGAAAGCTTCGGCTTAAACCAAAAGAATATAGCCACAAGTGAATCTGCAGAGACTTTTCTGGTATTTCTGCTCTAGTATTATTCAGTAATGTATTCAGCAACAACTTTGCTTTAGAATTGGCACTTATTTGAGTATCCAGGATTGTCTGCAACATGCGAATTATAGCAGGAACTTTTTCTAAATTTTCTTTATCAGAAACTATTGATCTTTTACTGATAGTGAGATGAAATTACAATTTCCTGGAAGGTTGTCACATTAGGTACAATATTTTCTGGATCAATTCCTCATAGTGTCACAGACATCAAATGTACAGAAACCGTGAAAATAACATGCTCATCAGTAAAGTATAATATGATATAATCTTAAATACGAAATAAAAGTTTCAGGTAAAGTTGTTACAGAAATGGAATTTGGGGCTCGCGAATAAAATTTTTGGTGCAATAATCATTTCTGAGAGTCTAAAGATATGATCAAGTTAACCAGACTTCAAACTTAGATTTTATTTGAAACTTCTCTCACAGTACATGAATAAAGTTACAAAAGTTGAATAACAAAGAAGGTCCAAATGGGGCATAAATTTGGATTTTGGACTAACCATATGGAACTCGAGCTATTTATTTAACATTAATCAACAAACTCCATCAACCAACAATGATCAAGTTCTTTATCCTGGTAACTATAAACACTGAAACTAAAATTAACGACATAGCTGAAAATCACGCCACCAGATATTTTCCCACAATGATCTATCAGCTGCCAAGTTTGCGAGCAACCGAGCAGCTAGGATGAATATGCAAGGAGAATTGCTTGAGAGATTGACAATGAATCAAAATCTAGGCTCGAAAGGTTGGCACATGATAATTGCGGCCAAAGGTCAAGATAGTTCCAGTAGGCAAACACATTCGATATGCGGAGTGTGAGGGAACATGTCCACTGGCTGTAGGCTTTTGAGTTTGTAACATCCTTTAATATTTTGCTCTGTCTGCAGAAAGGATTTCTAGAGTTATGACTGCAGAGAGCTTGAAAGACAACAAGAGTTATTGGTAAACATACATACCACACCATGACAAAGGTAATCAAGGTCACGTGCACATGTGGCTGGATTACACGATACGTAAACAATGCGTGGTGCCTTAAGCTTTAGCAGGAACTTAATCAATTTCATATGCATACCAGGGCGGTTTGGATCTGCATGATTTGTGACATTAAACCAAAAAAGTTGAAAAAATAGACTGAACAGAAAGAAAGAAAATAGTATTGGGTGCAATCTCTAACTGAAGTAAATATCAAATAATGAAGATTATAAATTTCATTTCATTCAACTTCCCTGCCTGACCAGAACAATGTAAAAGAAACTGTATCACAGTGTAGTCTGTATCTAATTGGCTTAGGCTTATCAATTATCAGTAAAGAACAAAATCATGTCTTATAATCAAATTATTCTATAGTTGATAGAGAAGACGACCTGAAATGACAATGTCGGGCTTTGGAAACTCATTGCCAAAATTTTCACCAATTTTGTTGAGGTCCCCTTGGACAAAATTAGCATTAGAAATACCATTCAATGTGGCATTTCTATGTGCATCTGATATAGCTTGAGGAACTACTTCATAGCCATAAACATGTTTAACCCTGCCAACAAGGAATGACAATGGCAGACGATGATTTTAGATACTCTTAAGCTTAAAAACCAATTTAACAGAAATAATAGACTGGGAAGACTCAACAAGTAAAACCTAATGAAGTGAGGAGATATACTTTCTTGCAAGGGTCAAGCCAATGGTGCCAGTTCCACAAAATAGGTCAAGCACAATTTCTGAGCCATCTCCTCTGAGACCAGCACAATCTTCAATAAGTTTATATAGAACCTCTGCCTAAACAATGTAGATCTTTGCATTTACAGTTAACCCACGAAACTATACGGTAAATTTAAGCAAGAGATAGAGGATACTAGTTGGAGCAAGCATGGGCTGGCATACCTGGTGAGTATTTGTTTGGAAGAAAGAGTTGGCTGAGATTTGAAACGTAAGCCCTCTTAAGGTCTCAGTGATGGTAGATTTCCCATATAAAGTGTGCTCCTCCTCCCCAACAGATGTGTTACCAACAGAAGAATTGACATTATTCATAATACTAACCTATCAATCATCAGAAATTTTTTTTAGAAAGAAACATGGATAAATGAAAACGTAAAAAGGCAATGAACATAGGACCAGGTAATTCAAAAATAGATGAACAAATATACAGAAGTAAAAGACAGAAAAGACATCAACCAGTGCAAGTCAAAGGATTACTGAATAATTCATGGGCACAATATCTTTTGGTCATACGCACATAGTTATGTTTTCGCTTTCTGCTTTAGGCTATCAAATCAATGTTGAACCAACCAACTATGTGCATTACCCTAAAAAATCAATGTTGATCCAACCAACTAGGACCTGACCCTATCCAGTATTTTGATTACAAAGAACTGATCTTAATAGGCTGGAACCAGTTTGGTGGTCAAATTTATTCAACCTGCAGTCCTATCAACAAAATTATTTCAACCAAAGCATCTGAGTCACACAAATTCTAGTTCACTATAACAAGGAAAATCACAAAAAGCTTGCTTTCAAACATATTGAAATTTGAAATTTCCTGTACAAACCACTTCAGGAATTGAAGATATTTTCTCAACCAGCGGCTTCAGCAGGTCTGGTTCGTAAGAAGATGTTACGAAATTGACCATGAGTTCAGGCAGACCAGTCTTCACATCCCTGGAGAGTAATATAGCAATTAAATCTAAGGGGATATAGCTTTCTACAACAACTATAGCCCCATGAACTCAGAGAGTGCAAAATATGCTAAAAGCCATCACGTAATCAAATGAAATATCCAAAGTATATACTGAATGTAAGCAATTGAAGACGATATGATCTACAGTAATCAAAGTACCTTCCAGATCTTAGCATTAAATGCTTGAGGAATCCTGCATGAGAGTGGACATCATAAGGAGACAGACCTAATTGTGCGTCTCTCCAACAATCTTGGACAGCAGCAAGGACCTATGTAATAAAATGAGATCAAAGAGCAGTCAAAAGTCAATTTCTCCCACACATTCAAAAATAATTTAATCAATAAATAATGGTTTAATCATAACTTAAAAGCTGCAGAAATTACACAGCAGGATAAAGCAATGTTCTTTAATCCATATGAACCCACTAACTTTACAATGTTGAGTTTTAGAAGTGGCAAATCTTAGCATGCATAATACAAGCAACCAAAGAACATGAAGATGCTTTGATTAGCATGAAAATATCATTGACATTTATATATCACAAGCTTTTGCAGATTATTCTCATTTATTCCTCACCAACTTCAGAATCATCTACAACCATCTAAANAACTTTTGTTGTTGGAATGTTTTAGCTAAATTCTCAAATGTAAGAGATTAAAAATAACGTACTAAATAATATAATAATAATATTAACAAGGAAGGGCAATTAAGTAAAAACCCCTCAGATAAAATTTTATTCCTCCCAACTAAACATATTAATTATTTATACTCACCAATCTAATTGTTGTAGATAATCATGCAAAATCTTACAGATATTGCATGATTAAGTGTATAAATCTATAATAGGATATTAGGATTGTAATCAACATATATTAGGAACAAATCTGTAAAATAAGAAGTTAGATTATTCATTTCCTAGATCAGTTCTTTATTTTCCTATATATTGATGTATAATTTATCAATACAGAAATAAGAAAATTACAATCAGCTCTCTGTTTGTAACATGGTATCAGAGCAATTTTAGGTTGTTTCTCAATTTCGTTTTCTTTTTCTCTACCCAAGTGAGCATTCTTTTTGAGTCACCTTAGAAAGTGTCCTTTTCTTTCTCACCGCCTGTCTAGGAAGAAGCCCCTCCTGCCGATCAACCATTCCCTGAAGTCTGGTCACTGGAGGAGCAACGCGTGAGTCTCATGCACCACCTTTTTCATCTGCGACAATATTCACTCGCCGGCGCGTGTGACGGAGGACAGTGCTCCGATCACCCTTCCCGACTTCGTCTTGATATTTCTGGCAAGTCTGTGTGATCAGTTTCTCAGTATGTCAGCCAGGTCATATCAGTTTTGTTGATTTCTGTTGGTATCAGATTTCATTCTTTGAAGAGTTTTGTTGGCTATTTGTGTTGAGGTCAGTTTGTTGATTTTCGTCTGTAAGTTGTGTTGGCTATTTATGTTGAGATCAATTTTTCGTCTTCTTACCATGACTGACAAGCCTATAACTAATATGGTTCCTATAATGTCAAAAATTACGAAACATAAGCTTAATGGGTCTGATAACTATTTCGATTGGAGTTAGACAATTCGTCTCTACCTGCGAAGCATTGGTAAAGATGATCATCTCACAAAAGATCCGTCTGAAAATGATTCGAAGCTAATATGATTGAGAGAGGATGCCCGGTTGTTCTTGTAGATACGGAACTCCATCAATAGTGAGGTACTTGGTTTAATTAATCATTGTGAATATGTGAAAGAGTTGATAAACTATCTAGATTTTTTGTATTCTGGAAAAGGGAATGTTTCTCGTATTTTTTATGTATACAAAGCCTTTTATCGAGCTGAGAAACAAGATAGGTCTTTTACTATTTTATGGACTTTAAAAGGATATATGAAGAACCTAACATCCTTTTACCGATGAGTGCTGATGTGAAAGTTCAACAAGCTCAACAAGAGAATGGCAGTTATGTGTTTCCTAGCTGGACTCCCTTCTAAGTTTGAATCTACTAAATCTCAGGTTCTCGCCAGTTCTAAGATCACCTCCCTCCAAGACTATTTACTAAAGTTCTTCGTACAGAAAGCACTCCATCTGTTCAGTCGAGTAGTGCTCTTGTAAGTCAAAATAATGACACAGGGCATTCATATAACAGGAGCAATAATTGAGGGGGTTCGAATAATCGTGATAATCGAAGTCAGGAGTCAGGAGGGATTGTGTGCTACTACTGTCATGAACCCGGTCACACAAAGCGCGCGTGCAAAACGTTGCAAAATAAGGCCCAGAAAACTCAGTCAGCTCATGTTACTGCTACTGATACTTCTGAGAAGACGGTTATGATTTCAACTGATGAGTTTGCCAACTTTTCTCAGTATCAAGAATCATTGAAGTCCTCATCTACTTCCATCACTGCTCTCGCCGAGTCAGGTAAATCAAATACATGTCTTATTTCCTCATCCTCCAAATGGATAATTGATTATGGTGCCACAAATCATATGACAGGTTATCCTAGTCTCTTTTCAACATATCAGTCACATAATTCCTCGTCTACTGTTACTTTAGCTGATGGGTCAACTTCTTGTGTTCTTAGGTCTAGGTCTGTTAACCCTACTCCGTTAATTTCCCTATCCTCTGTATTGAGTCTACCACAGTTCGCTTTTAATTTAATTTCCGTGAGTAAACTCACTCGTGCTCTTAAATGTTGCATCTCATTTTTCCCTGATCATTTCATGTTTCAAGATCTTACGACGAGACAGATTATTGGTAAAAGACATGAATCTGAAGGGCTCTACATCCTTGACACACAGGTGCCTAGAACCATTGCATGTTCCAGTATTTCGACCTCTTTTAAGACGCATTGTTGGTTATGACATCCTTCTTTACCATTGTTAAAGAAACTATGTCCTCAGTTTAATAATTTATCTTCGTTAGATAGTGAGTCATGTAAATTTGCCAAACACCACCGTCTTCCTTCAAGTCCAAAAGTCAATAAACGAGCTAGTGTCCCTTTTGAATTAGTTCATTCAGATGTTTGGGGTCCGTGTTCTATTATGTCTAAACCTGGATTTAAATATTTTTTTACCTTTGTTAATGACAACTCTCATGTAACTTGGCTTTATTTAATGAAAAATCGTTATAAGTTGTTTTCTCATTTTTGTGCATTTTGTGCTGAAGTTAAAACTCAATTTAATACTTCTGTCCAGACATTAAGAAACGATAATGCCAAAGAATATTTTTCGAGTTCTTTTCAATCTTATATGAGTCAGCATGGCATTCTTCATCAATCCTCTTGTGTTGACACACCGTCCCAAAATGGAGTAGCCGAGAGGAAAAATAGGCACCTTCTTGAAACCGCCCGAGCCCTATTATTTCAAATGCAAGTTTCTAAACAGTTTTTGGCCGATGTAGTTTCCACGGCTTGTTTTCTAATTAACGGCATGCCTTCATCTATTCTGAATGGTTTCACTCCTTACAGTGTCCTCTTCCCGTCTAAGCCTTTGTTTCTTATTGCACTAAAGATATTTGATAATACTTGTTTTGTTCATGATGTTCAACCCCAGGTAATCAAGTTAGATCCCAAATCTCTTAAATGTGTTTTTCTAGGTTACTTTGACCTTCAGAAGGGATATTGATGCTATTGTCCTAGTCTTAATAGATATCTGGTGTCACCTGATGTTACTTTCTTAGAAAACACTTTTTTTTCCTACTTTGTCTACCTATACAAGTCAGGGGGAGGACGATGACTTACTAATCTACACTGCCACATCCCTACCGACTACTCCTACACCTGAGGCTTCCCCACCTACTGTTCCTCCTTCGGCACCACCTCCTCTCCGTCCAGTACCTCAAATTCGCATTATCTATTCTCGTCGACAAGAACCTCCTGTACCAGTCCCTTCGTCGTCAGATCCAGTCTCTAGTGATCCCAATACCTGTGTTCCTCATCAAGAAAACCCTCAGAATTCATGTCCTGCCCAAGACTCTTCGTCGTTAGATCCAACCTTGAGTGATCTTGATCTTTCTATTACTCTTCAAAAAGGTAAACGTCAGTGTACTTATCCTATCTCTTTATTTGTTTCTTATGATCACTTATCATCTTCTTCTTGTTCTTTTGTGGCCTCACTAGACTGTCTCTCTTCATGCAACTGTTCATAAAGTCTGATCTCATCTTGGTTGGCGTGATGCTATGATAGAAGAGATGAATGTTTTAAATGTTAATGGTACTTGGACCTTGGTTGACTTACCTACTGGAAAGAGACATATTGGATGCAAATGGGTGTTTGCTGTTAAAGTAAATCTTGATGGGTCAGTGGCTAGGCTTAAAGCTCGTCCTGTAGGTAAAGGCTATGCTCAAACTTATGGAGTGGATTATTCTAACACTTTTTCCCCTATAGCTAAATTGACTTATGTTCGCTTATTTATCTCGATGGCGGCTACTCATTCTTGGTCATTACATCAGTTGGACATAAAAAAAATGGTTTTTTACATGGTGACCTTCAAGAAAAAGTCTATATGGAGCAACCACCTGGGTTTGTTGCTCAGGGGGAGTATGGGAAAGTTTGTCATCTTTGCAAATCGTTGTATGGTTTGAAACAGAGTCTACATGCTTGGTTTGAAAAGTTCAATCAGGTAGTTGAAAAGTTCGAAATGACAAAAAGCAAGTCTGATCACTCAGTCTTTTACAAACAATCGGCAGTTGCCATTATTCTTCTTGTCGTATATGTTGATGACATTATCATCACTGGGAGTGACACTACAGCGATTTCATTGCTTAAGTCCTTTCTTCACACCCAGTTTCATACAAAAGATTTAGGAGTGTTGAAGTATTTCTTGGGGGTTGAGGTAACAAGCAAGAAATGCATTTTCCTCTCTCAAAAGAAATATGTACTTGACTTATTAACTGAGACAGGAAGATTGAGAGCTAAGTCATGCAGTACGCTAATGTTTTCTAATTCGCAACTTACCAAAGATGGTGAATTGTTTAAAGATCCTAAGAGGTATAGAAGACTGGTTGGAAAGTTGAACTATCTAACAGTCACACGTCCTAATATTGCATACTCTGTCAATGCAGTAAGTCAATTCATGTCTTCTCCTACGATTGACCATTAAGCAGTGTTAGAACAGATTCTGTGTTATCTGAAAAGAGCTCCATGCCGTGGTATTTTGTATGGAAATTATGGACATAATAATATTGAATGCTTCTCTGATGTAGATTGGGCGGGTTCCAAGATAGATAGGAGATCCACTACGGGCTACTGTGTTTTTGTTGGTGGAAATTTGGTCTCATGGAAAAGTAAGAAGTAAATTGTTGTGTCCTAATCTAGTGTAGAATCAGAATATAGGGCTATAGCCAAGTCCGTGTGAAGTAATATGGATATATCAGTTTTTGACTAAAGTTGGTCTTATGGCCTCTTTGCTAGCGAAATTGTGGTGTGATAACCAAGTCGCTCTTCATATTGCTTCTAATCTCGTATTTCATGAACGAACTAAGCACATTGAAATTGACTGTCATTTCATTCGTGAGAAAATACAGCAAGGTTTAATTTCTACAGGATATGTGAAGACTGGAGAGCAACTAAGAGATGTTTTTACTAAAGCTTTGAATGGGGTTCGGATTGATTATATTTGTAGCAAGCTGGGCATGATTATACTCCATCTTGAGGGGGAGTGTTGTAGATAATCATGCAAAATCTTACAGATATTGCATGATTAAGTGTATAAATCTATAATAGGATATTAGGATTGTAATCAATACTTAATAGGAACAAATCTGTAAAATATGAGTGTATAAATCTATAATAGGATATTAGGATTGTAATCTGCCAGATCGGTCGCTCAAGACCTTTGGTCTCTACTCCGACCCGATGAAAAAAAGGGGATCACTTCTTCTGGAACTCGAACCGATGACATCCGCCACAAGGTAAACCACCACCTCTCAGGCCCCCACTGATTCTAACATAGAAGCCAACGATAGACAATAAGTGATCTCCCCCCCGCCCGAACACAGCTTACAACTTCCATCATACTGTGCTCTCCAAAGAGCAACTCTTCTCAAAATCTCAAAGGGTGCTGAGTTGGAATATATATTAGGAACAAATCTGTAAAATAGGAAGTTAGATTATTCATTTCCTAGATTAGTTCTTTATTTTCCTATATATTGATGTATAATTTATCAATACAGAAATAAGAAAATTACAATCAGTTCTCTGTTTGTAACACTAACCAAACATATTAGTATAACATTCCCCTATTAATCTTCAAAGTAATCTATCTTAGTGGTAATCCTATCTTTTCAGTGATAAAAAATTCCCTGAAACAAACGCTACCTAATTTGCTCCACATTTGTCACTTAAAATAAACATGTCCAAATCTAGAGCTTCTAACTTTGAAGCAATACTGGGCAAGTAATGCCGCAAAAGTATATTTATTGGACATATTGATGAATAATGGTTGAATAATACAATTGATATAGGTAACACTCACTTGGCAACTTTCTCTGGCGTGACATATAATAGCTTGTATTTACAATAATCAGAGTTAAGTTCCCTAAGAATCTCCTGTTGCTCAGTCCACTCCATATTGGCACTCAAATAAGCAGCCGGTATATTTGCCTATTGCACAAACCAAATGACGAATTACATCTGTTGTTAGATAAGAAGCTGATAGATAATCAATACTAATACAAGTATTTGGATTAGTAACACAACAAATGTTACCTGCAATAGATGCATTATTTGATCTTGGATAAGTGATACGAGAGGAGATATTACCAAAGTTATCCCCAGACATGTAAGAGCAGGAAGCTGTAAGACAATAAAGTAGAAATGTGAAAAATCATATAATGTGAAAAATAATAAGTTTTATTTCATAAGATTAACAAAATTTTTTGAACTATCAATAGTGTTTGCCAATAAGAAGCTGAATTTGAAAGCTATTTTCCAAAAACATTTTAATATGCTACCGTAGTTCTAAGAAGATGTTTGAAAACACTAATAATTTTGCTAGGTACAAGTTCAGCCAACAAACTAAGCGTGCAACTGAACATAACCATAGATTGAGACAGAAAAAACTATAGAGAAACAAGTTATAAAGCTAGAAAACTTTTTTCCAAACAGAAAGAACAAAGCATAAGAAAAACTCTTTACCTGATAAGTCAAACTCTTTCCCCCTCCAGTTGGCATAAGAACAAAGACATCATGCCCACTCATTGTAGCATTTATGACCTCTCTCTGATTGGGGCGAAATGAGTGGTTTCCGAAAACTTTCTTGTTGTTGACCTGAAATTTAAGGAAGGCAAACCACAATCAGAAGAAATAATGCAAATACTAAAGGAAATTAATTCAGATACATACCTCCAGCTTTTTAGTCCATGGGAAATCCCCACTACTCCACCTTCGGTCATTTGAACCTTCAATATAATTAACTTCAATAATCTTTGGGATATATGGTTCCTTCTCCACAGAGTATGATGGAACCCTAGGCCTATCTACAGAAGAGAATGGAATTGATGATGAATTCCACTTTTCATATCCTTCTACTCCATTATGGATATGAACCTGGGAATCAAATCTCCTTAGTGAAGCTGCTTGAGGTGTTTCATATTGAAAAGGGCAGGTTGTGGATGCAGAAAAATGCGACTTTTGTCTTTCCACATCACGAAGGTATCCCTCAAGCTGCTGAATCTGCTTATTCAAATGCAACCTAAAAAATGGACATGTGTACATGCATAAGGCACTAATCAAACAATTTCATTGTTATGAATCTTATGATCCCTCAAGGAGCTAAATTTACAAAATGAGGCAACACAAACGATGAAATTCATAATATCCAAACAAATCCTTTGAAACATGAATTTTTACAACCAACTTTTTTCCTACTGTATTTTCACTATATATTTGTTTTTCAATAACTAAAACTCTAAATTGAATATTTATATAGGGGAAAAAAAAAGCACTAATGATAAAAGGGTTGGCTAAAGGGAGGACGCCGGTAACCTGTCCTGGCGAAGCTTCTCTATTTGTGCCGGACTCAGGTCTGTATTGTCAAGCAGTTCATTGGATATAGCAATCAACATGTCCTTCATTTCTTTTACATGACAAGTGGCTTCCAGGCAAAGCCCTAGCTGTATCAATCTCCAAAAATCAGGCACAAAAAACTAATACCAGTCCAAGATTGAAGTACAATACAAAATGCAAATAGTACATTTACCTTAAATCCGTGATTACAATTTGAGGACAATTCAGGAGGCAAAAGATTCTGATCTTGCCTTGCAAATTTACCATTATCTGCGATTGGAGTTATGGGAGGAAACTTAGAAATTGATGGTTGAGGGGTGCAAGTTGATTGGTATTCCATGACAATTTGGTCCACATCAATACTCTGAATAAAAAACAAAAACAATTCATGAGATAGACGAATGCAAACAATCCACTTGTCAGTTGGAAAATAAACCATAAAGCTTTTAACTTTAGACAGATAAAAGTGAGGAATTTCATTCACAACTTATATAAAAGAATCACTAAATAGTATTTTTCCAAGGTTCCATAAATGAATGCAATAGCAAAACAATCTCTGCAGATTGTAATATTTAAATTAATTCAATTGAATAAAATGAATTTCCATAGTCAAATAATTCTAGATGACTACATCAAGCTAATTCAAAACTTAACTATTTCAATATGAATGATTTCTGATAAGGATAAACTGCATGCTGTTTTACTAAACCAATATAATTTCATTTAAACCTAGTAAAATGAGTTACCTTGAGTATTTCATCATCGTCCGCGTCATCAGCCAAAACTTCTGCAGACTTATTTATTTGGCTAGTATGCTCAGTGTGATCTGTGAATGATCCTTTTGAAAATTTTGTGCAAGTATTGTTAACCACAGATGATTTAATCTCATTTTGCCCCCCATGACTCTTTCCAGCTTCCGTTCCTCTAGCATTATGCGGTGAATAAACACAGCCAATACCCCTTGCTGGTTCACTAACTTTCACATTGCTGTGGCTGAGGTTTTGATGTTTATACATAGGTTCAGAATATTTACTACTACCGAATGAGCTCTGTAAGGTAGCTCTTCTGCTGACATCACGTGAAGAATCACTATCAGCATTCTTAACTGGAATACTTACTCCAGGTCTTCTGTAAGTCCTGCAGGATATCTGAAGACAGGAAAGAGTGTGCCAAGCCTGCCAAAAGTGTTCCATCCAAAAGCAATTGAACTCTTAAGAAAATTTAAATCTTAAATAGAAAATTTGGTGAAGAAAAAGCCAAGGCAGATCAAGTTACTGCCAGTAGAAATGCAAAAGACTAAAAGTTTAGGGACACAACCATTGAAACAAAAAAAGGATAGCATGTTTCTTAGTATATAGAATTATTCTAGTTGGAAAACAACCCATTAAACCAACCTAGAGCACAAATAGCAACTCATATATGCTGCTTCACAATTTTACCTTTTCTAATTCAGCACTGTGTACTCTTTGAAAATTCTGAATTTGACAGGTTGTTAACCTAAACGACATGACAAGATCTTTGTCAGAAGAATCAATAGCTCAGTTAAGTATGAGTGCAGATCATCCAAAATGTCTAATAGATCTATTTAAGTATAAAACATCATGCAAAAAACTTTTTCCCAAAAGTTTTCAATCAGCAGCTTCAGAAAACTAACAGAAACAATAAAGCAATTATAACCTAGAATTCCAGCAAAAGAAATCTGCATATTTCTTGGATGACAACATCATAGTCTAATCATTAGCAAGAAGCACAGTGAGCACCATATAAGAGTTGCAACAGAAAACTAGAAAAAGATTATCGATGTTATGAGATTTAACTGATATAGCAGACATTTAGTTCTCTGAACCATAAAACTACAATCACTAACAACCGAAATCTGTTTCATTTGTCAAGAGAGAGATTTATATGGAATTCATTGCCTAGTCAAATATGTGTACAGCCAAGTTTCTAAACATCAATTTTAGTATTTAGCACCATAGAATTCTACACTAATACGAAACAAAATAAGTTTGTATCCCGAAATATGAAACTTAGAAGATATTTATTAGATCCATATAATCAAAATGTGCCTGTATATATATATAACACACCTTGTAGCCATTGCTCCTTCAGCACGAGGCTTTTGTGTTTCCAAGGAGTAAAGAAAATTTGAGCACAAGAACTTATTCTGGTGCGCAAAATTATCATGGGCATTGAAATGTTGCAACCAATTAACTTTAGGAAGTTTGTTATCACATTTGTCACCTTCACCTGAATTACTCCAACTTTATATCAATCTCAAACTATTAGCCAATTGAGATAAGAAAAGGAAAAGGACTCGAGAGATAGATACAAAATAATTATTGCTCTTACCTCATATACTTTTCCTCATTCATGGGCTAGAATATTCTACTACTTCTGATGAATAACCCCCCTGCTCAAAGGTCATGACTGAATATAATAACCTGGTATGTAAAATCTACTCAGTACAAAGTATAACATGAAAATGAGGGAATTGAAGTCCAAGTTGAATTTCAAAATATCAAAAATGACCAAATTGCTCAAGCTACCCATCAAAGCAATTGAAGAAATTAAAGCTTACAAGCAATTTATCAACCATAAGAGAAATCCATTAATATGTAAAAATAACAGAATATCCAAGCTACCAAAGTAAACATATAAGAAATAGAGATTACAAACAAAACATTAATCCCTCATTAAATTAAAAAAGAACATATCCAAGCTACCCATGTGAACAAGCAAAAAAATAGAGTTAAAAACAACAAAAAAAAATTAATATAGCAATGTACCTTGCCTGTATTTCACAACTTTGTAGCATCTCCTAAATTTAGAGTCCATTAGGAATTAATGGCAGTTGCGAAACAATTGAATCATATAAAGACTACCATTGCCCCTATCTCGTTATTCAAAGAGATGGGCACTCATTTTAAACAAGTAATCTGAACAATCAACGAGAACCCAGTCAAAACTAAGAAAAAAAAAATTGAAAATCAAAAACCCAAATACAACATTTACATTTTAAGTATAACACAATTTTCCACAACACAGCAATACAAATTCCAGTATTAACGTTAAATATCAAACTAATAATACAAAAATAAAAATTAATATAATAACATAAAACGCGAGGCTAATAAAATGAAACACAAAATTAACAACACATTAGTTGTTAAAATACATGTACCGTACCGATGGTGTTGTATTCAAGTGAATTTTTCTACAGCACGGTAAAAAATATAAGTCTTTATAAAAACTTAAGACTGATAAAAGAATAAAAGATGACTTGAATTGCATGTACGGTATTGATAATGGACTACCGACGCACGTATGGTGTGTGAAGTGTGAAGTGTGAAGTGAAACCCTAGAAATGAATTTTAAGGAAGTTGTGAAATTGATTGAGAATGGAAGCGTACGAGCCTTAATTGTTGGTTGTGGCTTTACGGCGGTATGGTCTGGAGGTGGAACCTTCGGTGGCGGGCGACGTCGAGAAAGAAGGTGAAAGTTCAGAGAGAGAGGGATAGGTGAGAGTGAGGTTTTCAAAATATAGCGCGGCCACTAGTGGCGGGATAATTCGCTCTATTCTGCATTTCTGCTGTGGAAATTTTTCCCACGGGAGTAAATTACATGAAAGCCCTTCTTCGGCTATGTATTTGAAACTAAGAGGACGAGATTAATTTTACGTCATCACCACCCCTTTAGTTTCAGAAAATAACAATACCATCCCCCGTTTTTAAAGTCACAACTCAATATGAAAGTGAAATGTGAAATTATGTAAATAATCCCGTTTGGTTACAAGGCAAGTATATGATTCATGAATCGTCCAAACAAATAATTTTAGATCTAAAAAGAAAACATATGAATTGATTATATCTATGGGTATTTATACATTAACTATCGATTTTGTCATTCATCAATTAGTTTTTATGTAATGTCCATTGGGTTTGTGAGGAAAAAAAAAAATTGTCAATATCTCATATGTTTTGAATCGAAAGTGTCACCTTTTTTTATTCAAGGATGACAGATTTTTTATCAAGCCTCAAAGACTAGAATGTTTTTAGCTCAAAATTAAAAAAATAAAAATAAAAAAAAATGATGTGAATTTTTAAGTCATAGGCAAAAGCGTGACAATTAATTCTTCTTTTTCTGGGATAATTAGCCCCCCAAGGTTTAGGCCAACACAAACCCCCTCAAGTATGGGTAATGACGTAGAACCCCCTATCGTTACTAACATATTGTTAATTCTAACATCAAGGAAGACAAATAAGTAAAATGAATCTAAAATATTAATTTATATTAAAGAAAATTAAAAAAAATCAAATTCATAAAAAAATTCAAACCCTAAAAACCTATCACCATTACCACTTCTTCTTCCCCACCACCACCACCCCCTAGACAACTACCACAGCCACCTCCTATTAAAACTGCACTTTTAAAGGTGTGTTGGGATCAGGGTAATCTTCGTTTATTTTTTCAAGATTCCCCCTTAATTAAATACCATTTCGAACATAATTGCCCTCAAATGTCTACCAAATAACAATCTCAGCCCCCTTACATTTGAGAAACTAGCTAAAACACCCCAACCACAAAAAAATTTAAAAATTAACAAAATACCCCAGCCACGGGCCACCTAAGACCACCGTCGGCCACCACCGCCAGTCGCTAGTGGCAATCGCCGTAATGGCCCACGACTGGCGGGATCTGGCCGGTGGTGCACCGTTAAGGCTTTTTCTGGTCAAATCTGGTCGTTTCTGTACTATTTCACGGTTGATATATGGCCATGAAATGGCCATGGATCACTAGAAATGGCTTTGTCAGCACACAACCGACCATATACAGCTAGTCATGCGTCATTCTGTCGACTGCCAGCTATGGTGGTTGGCTACCGATAGTGGCTTGGGGTGGGTGGGGTTATTTTGCTACAAATTAAAGTTTTGTATGGGTGGGGTGTTTTATAATCTATATAACATACCCACCCAATTATCCTCCCAACCAAACATATTATTCACCAATTTATTTGAACCAAACAAACACATTTTCTAAACATTCCTAGTAATCTTCAAGGTGATCTATCTTTCCCTTAATATAACATTCCTCTATAATAAGACATTATATGATCTAAACGCCCCCTAAAGGCTATTGTTTTTATCTCATCCACAGCCAAGGTCTTCACCTTTAAGAGGCCACTATAGCGACCTAAGGGGGTTCTGCGTCATTACCCATACCTAAATGGTGTGTTTGGTTCAGGGAATGTTATATTACTGGAAATGTTATATTATTGGAAAAATAGATTCCTTTGAAGATTACTGTGAATGTTTAGGAAAATGTGTTTGGTTAGTTGGGATAAATTGGTGAATATGTTATATTGATATGTTTGGTTGGAAGGAATAAATTGGTGGGTATGTTATATAGATTACTAAATTGCCCTCCTTTTAAAATTTAATATAATATTATTTTTATTATTATTTTTTGAATATTTTTTAACCCCCTACATTTGAGATTTTGCTAAAACACCCCAACCACATAAAGTTTAATTTTTTACAAAAACAGCCCCACCCACCCAAGCCACTGTTGACTACCTAAACCATCGCCGGCCGCCTAAACCATAGTCGGTCATCGATCGAGAAGTGCAACGGATATGTTCTTTGAGGGGTTTTGAAGAGGAGGTGAAGGGGAGTCTATTAGTGCAAGTAGGGGTGATTTCCAATAGAAAACACGACTGAAAAAGTGCTAAGAAAAAGGGAAATCGTGCGGAAAAACAATGGGCTTCGCTAGTGATTGGGGGCAACTTTGGTGATGGGGTTTGGTGGGATTTGAAGAGGAAAATAAGAGACGTAATATGGTGGTGGTTGGGGCCGACGATGATGCAGAAATCAGCCTAGATTGGGCTTAATACCGGCAGTTGCCCAGCTCAAAAAAGCCTAGATCCACGGCCAAATCAGCGCATGGCCGGCCAAATCTGACCGGTTATGCCCATTCTGATGACATTGGTCGACGATGGCCTGTGGTGGTGGCCAACTGCCAATAGTCCTCTTGGGTGGCTTGACAATACCCCAGTAATGAGAGATTACCTACAACCAAATACACTCAAAGGGGGTAATCAGTTTGGACCAAACCTTAGGGATTTAGTAGTATCCCCTTCTTTTCTATATAACAATGTATTTTGTATTTTTTATGTTGTGGAATTTTGGTTAAAGCAAATAAGTGATTTTGTAACCATGAACATGGATAAATGAAGTGGACTATTATATTGAATTTATTTAATAAATATAGGTTTTAACTAAATAGCTTAACATTTTTACTATGTATGTCTTATAGTGTATATCAATATTGATATTGGTAAAAAGTACTATAATTTTTATGGTCAAATGAATTTTTAAAAAACAAACTTTATCATTTTATTTTGGATTATCTGAATATGGGTTATAAAGATTTAAATTATAAATGTAATTCTTTATCAATAAAATTCTTTCACTTCCTTAAATGAAAATATAAATTTTATTATTTACTATATTAAGAATAATACCAAAAATATGAAATAAATGTAAAAAAGTCAATTTCAATAAATAGAGATATCTAAGGTAAAAATGGTAAAATTACTGATGCATTGAAGGTGGATAATTTGAAGAGTCTGGAAACATACGATAATAAACTCGCTTTCTAGCTAGTATACGCGTTAAAATTAAACAGGAACAACTTAAATATATATAAAACTATACATAGTGTAAATAAATTTCTCAAAAAGCTCGACAGTGTTGCCCGACCCTTCCCCATCTTGACGTTCCAAGCGACCGCATCTCATATACTACCTGCAAAAACATTGAAAACAACCGGGTGAGCACTAATTGCTCAGTAAGTAAACCCAATATGCTACCCTCCTATCTTCGTTGCTCATATTCTGAATTCTTTCCTTACATCACATTTCTCTCTTCTTTTCTATTCTTTCTCTATTCTTTCTCTCTCTTCTTTCTCTATTCTTTTTATGTTCTATCTCTCTGTTCTTTCTCTATTCTTTTTCTGTTCTATCTCTTTGTTCTTTCTCTATTCTTTTTCTCACTTACTAACATGTAAGCACAATTGGAGAAACTAATTCTGAATAATATGAATGCCATGATGCATGTGCGTGCATAAATGCATAAAGAATGCAATTTCTTTTCTGTTTCTCTCCTTTCTTTCTATTCTGTTCTTCCATTCTGTGTTCTATTCTTTCTTTCTTTCTGTTCTGTTCTTTCTTTTTGTGTTATATTCTTTCTTTCTTTCTGTTCTGTTCTTTCTTTCTGTGTTCTGTTCTTTTTTTCTTTCTGTTCTGTTCTTTCTTTTTGTGTTCTACTCTTTCTTTTGTTCTACTCTTTCTTTCGTTCTATTCTTTCTTTCTTTCTATTCTGTTCTTTCTTTCTATTCTTTCTTTCTATGCCGATCGGACTCCGTTGAGGCATGGATTCGGAACCTTGGCCATGTGAGTGGGTACAGTCCTCATCTACATGCACTTCTATCGAACTGTACAACTCGTCTTTCTGATTCTGAGGCCGCTCACTAAAGGCGGTGTGCATGTAGGTAAATTTTGTTGGTACAATTCTCATCCATATACACTTCTAACGAACTGTACACTTACTTCTTTCTGATTCTGAGGCCGCTCACTGAAGGCGGCGTGTATGTGGGACTATTCATCTCTATCACTCACGGGTTCCCCATCGCAACAACCTTCTCTTCTCTTATTTTTTTTTACAATTAATTCTTTTCTTTATTTTTCTTTATTCTTTACTATTCTCATCCATGTGTATTTGCAAGAACATGCCCTCCTTCTTTTCTATCTTTCTAAATGGGGGCAAAATTTGGAATGTGAGAATTGGCATTATGGCATATAAAAAATATCATATTAGAGGAACTAGTTATTTTTACCAACAACCATTCCAATACTTGAAATCAACATAGATTATGAGA